CACTTCAGTGGATTCTTTGAAGGAACCCATGACGGCTGAACACTCTTGAAACCAAGATATATGTGTAGTGTAGATATACCATCTGTTCTGGATAGCACTGTACTGAACCTTGCACTCGTTTCCCAAGAAAACTTGTGTTTCCTGGAAAGAATGCAGGCACTGAGAACTTAGGGGGAAATTGTGAGTGGTCAGTATGTGTGTCTGCTTATGAAGTGGCCATAGGATTCCCCTTCCTTTAAAACAGGTTTAAAGCACCCCCTTTGTGCTCACAGTAGTGTGGCCCTCGTAGCAGTGTGGGGCTTGGTGAGATCATAAGAAGAGCTGGTCTGCTGGATCAGACCAAAGGCTCCATTTAGTCCCGTATCCTGTCCTCAGTGCGGCCAACCAGATGCCTATAGGAAGCCAGAAGCAGGGTGTCAGCTGAGTAGCCCTCTCTTTGAAGACAGACTTTTGACTTGGCAACACTTCTTAGTATGGCCGTGTGACTGCTGAGCTTGGAATCCTTTTCTTCAAAGAGCTCTGCCCCATTGCGAGTCCAATCAGGGCATTCTAAACCTGTTTTTTTAAGTGTGCATGAATGTGGAGTGGGGGATCTCCTTCAGCGGCCTTGTTGTGTTCATAAGGTAAACGCAAACAGACAAACACCAGTTCCTGGAATGTCTTTTTTTCTTTTCATGCAAACATCTACACACACGCTGTCCTTTTCTGAAATGTCTTCACTTTGCCCCCACTGCCTTTTGATTGGTCATAATAAAAACTGTTGGAAAATTCAGCTCAGCCCTAATTCTAGATTAGGAAGAAGGAACAGAAACATCTCCCTGCCTAAAGATGTGGTGAAATTCAATCCCACCATGCTTTAAATCTTCATAGCCAAGTCTCTGAAGCTGAAAATGGAATTTCAAGAATGCACAATTCAGTTTCTGGATGTTTAACTTAGTGAACTCTGTGTGTGTGTGTGTGTGTGTGTGTGTGTGTGTGTGTGTGTTTGTGTGTTGGATTTCTACTTTTATGGAATGCTTGAATAGATATGTTTTCACCTCAAATGTTCTCTAAAATGACATTTAACAAGTGAAGCTTAGATATATATTAGATATATATTTTAAATTCAAAACTTGACATTTCAAATCTGGAAAATGTTATGCATTTTGTATGTGAAACTTAGTTTCAGATTCACTTTCAACCAACTGCACTGCATTTTATTCTGGGCTACTAACTTGGCATGTGGTATTACTGGTACAACAAAATGTGACCAAGTTTAGTGTGGTGGTTAGACCAGTGTCTTTCACCTTGGGTCTCCAGTTGTTGTTGGACTACAACTCCCATCATCCCTAATCATAGACTAAGCTGGCTGAGAATGATAGGGACCTTCCAACACCTTGGAAACACTGGGCTAGATTGCAGAGCCAGGTTCAGACCTGGGAGACACAGGTTCAATTCCTGCTCTGCCACAAGGCTCAGTGTGTATCCATGGGGCATTTGTTGTCTTTCAGTCTAATTTACTTCACCAAATTGTTGAGAGGATGAAACAGGGAACCATTTATGCTGCCCTTAGCTCCTTTGAGGAAGGAAGGAATATACAGAATCATAGAATCATAGAGTTGGAAGAGACCACGTCCTACTTGCTAATAGCAAATTCATTCTCTTGAGTACTGATCTTTATTCAGCTATAATGGCGCCATCCCTGCATAAGAACTAGGTATCAGCAGGTGTGGAGGGAACCCCATGGCTTACAAAAGTACAATAATATTAAATTGATAATTGGTGAATGTGTTATGGTGCTTTGGAGGGAATCAGTGAAAGCATCATTAAACAGAATAAAAACTAGTAAAAATGTCATTATAATGGGTTATATCTAGTAAAATTTTATATATGTTCCACGCCATATAATTTTCTGTACTGAACCTCAGATTTTAGGCTTATTTTAGATATGATGGGTTGGTGGTGGTGGGTTTTTTTTGGAAAACAACAAAAACAACACCTGAGGAAGGAACACCACCCTCAAACGAAAACCCTGTCTGATGATGACTGAACATGCTTAGTGGGTACAAAATGCTGACTGGCAGGTTGGGGATCAAAAATAAGATTTGGGCGTTTGTTGGGATTTGCAAATGGCTTGGGGATTCCTGTTGCACTATGAAGTGGTAAAAAAAATAACTAATTAAGATAAATTAAAATGGAAAACCAGGTTAAGGAGGGAGAATGAAAGGAGCCTTACTAAGTTACTTTCATTTCCTTTTGAAATGGCAATCATTTATAACACTGATGGAATGCAGGATAGCTATTAGCCACCATTGAATTTGAACCTACATGGACAGGGGTAGTCTGTCTCTGAATCTCCATAAGAGGCAGCCGTCACTTTAAGTAACAGCCAGTGGAGCACTGTGGGTAGGGCTACATTGCTGTAGAATCATGGCCACTTGCACCTTCCTATTGGGCATTGGCAGAGAGGGGGCGAGACAAGGCAGTGGGAGCTCCAGCATTCTGGCCACTTGCAGTTCACTTAAAATGATGGTGAAAGGGGATACAGATTTGCATAAAAGTAACACATTCTCATTTATATATATAGACGCAAAATTAGAAATGAGTACTTCAATTTAAATAATTTTCTATTCTGCAATTATTTATTTACTGAAAATATTTGTACCCCACCCATAGATACCAGGGAGAGTTACAGAACATAAAATGAACAATTACAGTTGTATCAATAGAATAATTAGAAAACAATAGCATGCATCATCTAAAAATTGAGGCAGCAGAATAGGCTGAATACCAGCCGTGGCCACCCTGTGTTTATGACAACCCTGAGCCAAACATCATTTTCGACAGACCCATGGCAAACCGATCCCAATTAACAAGTTAGGAAGACTGGACAAAGGCTGTGTCATTGGCGTGCCCCGTTCTTTACTTGCGCTGCTGAATATAGACACAACCCCACAATTTCAAGAACAAGCGCCTTGTTTCCCTGCCAGCTTTTATCTGCTAGCGACAGGCCTGCATTCTGGGGATTTGAATAGGCCAGTAATTGCCTCACCATTACTCCAAGTCTCACTCCAGTGGAATTTAGCATTCCAGAACAATGACCTTTAAAATGGTCCTGGCAAACCCTCCGCCTCTGACACGACGGCATCCCACACATTTGCTTTTGCGCAAGAAAGCACAATGTGATGGAACGGCACGTGCGATGCTCTGGGGGGGGGGGGGTCAGCGTCCATCACAGGAAGCTGGCCGGGGTTCCCCTGTGGAGATGAATGGAATGACAGCGCAGAAACTCTACACTCTGCCTTCAATGGAGGAAAGCATTTCAAAGTACGTGAAGCAGAAGATGCTGAAGGGGACTCATGCAGCCAATTAACTCTACGGTCCTTTTGAAGATCCATGTGTGGGTGAGCCAAGAGCAGGCACCCCCAAACTCGGCCCTCCAGCTGTTTTGGAACTACAATTCCCATCATCCCTGACCACTGGTCCTGTTAGCTAGGGATGATAGGAGTTGTAGTCCCAAAACATTTGGAGGGCTGAGTTTGGGGATGCCTGGCCAAGAGGAATACATTGCTTCCAGTTTGTTTATCTCTGATATATGAAAGACTGCTTTTCACCATACACAGCCACAAAAGTGGTTTACACAACAATCTACAGAACAACTTATTGCAGTGTGGCGTGCTTCTATTCAGGGTCCCAGCCAGCCATGCCCTCCATCCTTCTCCCCTCCTTGTTTTCCATTTCCCCCTCCATCAGCCAGCATTCTGTGGTCACTGAGAGTGCTCAGCCCTCATTGGACTGGTTTTCTTCCTCCACCCCCTCCCTAAAGTTTTTTTGTACTTGTACAAATTTTGGAGGTTCTTCTAGGCATGCTAATATCTCCTTCTTGTGCAAAAGATGGTGCTGTTTCTAGGCCACATAAGGATCCACTTTCAGAGAATGAGTTTACTACTCACATGCCAGATGAAACTATTCCAGAAAGGCACAAATTTCCTCCCAGTCTTTCAGGAATCGAGATGTAGCATTAAGCCTAGGTAAAGGGACCCCTGACCATTAGGTCCAGTCATGGCCGACTCTGGGGTTGCGGCGCTCATCTTGCTTTATTGGCCAAGGGAGCCGGCGTACAGCTTCCGGGTCATGTGGCCAGCATGACTAAGCCACTTCTGGTGAACCAGAGCAGTGCACGGAAACGCCGTTTACCTTCCCGCTGGAGCTGTACCTATTTATCTACTTGCACTTCGATATGCTTTTGAACTGCTAGGTTGGCAGGAGCAGGGACTGAGCAACGGGAGCTCACCCTGTCGCGGGGATTCAAGCAGCCGACCTTCATCAGAAGGCTCTGTGATTTAACCCACAGCGCCACCCGCGTCCCTTAGCATTAAGCCTACCTGAATGAAATTTAATGGGTGCTGCCATTTTGCACATAATAGTAACCATCAACACGGTTCTGGTTTGAAAGGCACTTCACTCGCAAATGGATAACAAAGTCCTGATGTCTCTTCAGACATAACTCCTCGCATCAATAAAGGAGACAAATTGCGAGGTTCAATCTATCCCCCGCAGGGTTGGAGAACCTCAGACTTAGTCTGAAGATGACCCTCCAGCCGTCTCTATCTGGTCCTCCTCCAAGCTAGGTCCTCTGTCCAGGCCACATCCCTCACTGCTCCTACTCGACAGTCTTCATCAATGCTTGGGGCAGCTTAGGCTGTGTCCCGGAATTATGACAATGTTTCTTGTTTGCCCGGGTGGAGAGAAGAATGTGTGGTGTATGTGTGTGGAAACCCCTGACTGTTGGGTGGCTGGAATATATCCTCCTGTACAAGGTAAGAATCACATCCATTGCTCTGGTCCCTTCTGACTCTGGTGCTGCTGACTATTGACATGTGGTCCCAAGAAATTTGCCCACAAGAGATTGCAGTCCTGAAAAAGATTCCTCACCTCTGATCTCCAGTAATCATAGAATCATGGAATTGTAGAGTTGGAAGGGACCACGAGGGTCATCTAGTCCAGCCCCTGCAATCTTTTGTCGAATGTGGGGCTCGAACCCACAACCCTGAGATTAAGAGTCTCATGCTCTACCATATACTAAATATACATAAACTACATATAGGGAACACGGGTGGCGCTTTCGTCTAAACCACTGAGCCTCTTGGGCTTGCCGATCAGAAGGTTGGCAGTTCGAATCCACGCGATGGGGTGAACTCCTGTTGGTCTCTCCCAGCTCCTGCCAACCTAGCAGTTTGAAAACATACCAGTGCAAGTAGATAAATAGGTACTGCTGTGGCAGGAAGGTAAACAACGTTTCCACACACTGTGGCTTCTATCATGGTGTCCCATCACACAAGAAGCAGTTTAGTCATGCTGGCCACATGACCCAGAAAGCTATCTGCAAACAAACACCAGCTCCCTCACCTTGACACGAGATGAGCACCACCTCCTATAGTCACCTTTGATTGGACTTAACCATCCAGGGGTCCTTTACCTTTTTACCTTATACAAAATATACATATATTAAGTATTTATAACCAACGATTCTGTGGTATTTTACACTAGTACCACCAGATAAATAAACCACCATGCTGCTGTTCAAGGCAATGCCCCAAAACAGTACTATACATTATTATTATTATTATTATTATTATTATTATTATTATTATTATTGTTACTATTATTATTATTATTATTCCTGCACATTATTTTGGTATGTATTGCCTTAGAGCAAACTCGTATAGAAATTATTCTTAATAGCAACATCAATAGATATTATAGATCCAATACTGTTGTTCCCTTGTCCTATGGGGAACACTATCTGTATAATCTTTCCCCAGTTGCTTCTTAAAGTATCATCTGTAGCAGAGATTTCTACTCTGAAAGATGGCCGACAATTTCTGAGGAACAGAGTTAGTCAAGTGGAGGTGGAGTTTGGCATAATCACAAGGCAATTGCTGACATAATTTTCTGTGGGTATCTAATCCCTCTTTCAATATTGCTAAATTTCCTTCTGGCAGGGAGTTCCATAGTTCAGCTTTCCTTTACTAAGTTCAGACGTCGGCCTAGAGCTGTTGTGATTCAGCATCTCCCAGGTTGGTCTTTGAGGTGATGTCTTGCCAACTTTTCTCTGAATTGCTAAATTTGTCCTATTTGAGGGATCATTTCTTACAATTCTGTCCCACCCTTCCTTTAAAGACACTGAGCACATGGTTCTCCTCCTGCTGCTCTTGACGACGACCCCATGAAGTAGACTAAAATGAGAGGTGGTAAGTGACCCAAGAGATTTGATTGAGCACAGATTTGAGCCAGGGTCTCCCCAGTCAAAGTTCAATCTTCTAGCCATTGCACCACAGAGCCTCTGAGGTCCTCTCTCCCCAGCATCTCTAGAAAATGAGTGGATAATAGATGCACCTTTTGTATAGCACAGACCCATGTAATGATGGAGGTTATGTTGCATTGATGCAGAATTGGGGGCTCACACAGTTCTGGATATGGGAAACGACAGCTTTGGTGAATGGTTTCAAGCTGTACCTGGAAAAGGTTCCAGAAATTGAAATCCAGCAGAGGTGGATTTTTAATTACTGTAAAAAGAAGGGAGGCAGGGGGGCTCCCTGCCCATGGGTTTTGCATGCGTTAGCTTCCTTTTGAAGTTTAATTTTCTCGTGTATAAAGTGCTGCTTAGATCAGACTTGAAACATGATCAATGCAACTGGCAAGTGTTTACTTCGTGATTATGGAGCAATTAAATTCCAACTCAATACAGTTTAGGCATCAAACAGCTGTGCACTCATTCCTAAAGTGCCCACTGGATTACTCATCACGGCAACCAGGAGGCTGCCTGCAGCCTCAGCACCAATTAGCAGTGAAGAACATAATATAATCGATTTTCTTGGGTCTTGTCCTGGACCAGTTCTCTCTACAGTCTGGTCAGGCTGCTGCCTCCCCCGTTGTAACTTTGAATTGGTAAACACTTCTAACGTAAGAGCACAAGGTTGTGGATGGAGGAGCTGGTGAAGGGTTTGATTTGATATTTCAAGAGCATGGTAGAGTCATGGAGTCAGCCAAGGCTGCCCATGAAATGAGACACACTGTACAAAGGAGCCACAGGAAAAAAGGAAGCAACAACATAATATAACGCCTCTTAAGAATAATAGGAAACAAGGCAAACAACAAATAATACGTATCGGCAGCCAGTGACAAATCAAAATGCAGTCATGACGTGTATAAGGTCGGAAATAATAGCAGCCTGTTAAGTTGAATAACGAAGCCAAAAAATTCCATGAGTTCAGTGGGGTCTAGGTTTCTCCAGGTGAGAATGTATAAAGAACGAATGTTTGTTTTCAACCTGCTTGTGAAGATTGCCAGAGATCACAAAGAAAGGAATATATGATAATAACAAGAAGATGAGAAAATAACAAAGAGACTATCTGGACAGAACTGGATAGAACTGTTTAATTAAAGCAGCAGCAAGAGTTATGTTTGGACCCCTTTCGGAGCTTGAAGTATGGGTACCCCCAATAAAATTTTAAAAAAATTGACTGTATAATTTGGAACTAATGTGATTTGGAATTGATGTGATATGATTGGCATGTTAATAAAAATTATATTAAAAAAAAGAGCATGTATAAAGAACATAAATACATACCAATCCATGCATCACTCTACAGCTTTGTGTAACTTTGTCAGTCAAAGCCAAGTGCCACACCTTAACATACCATGACTCCTGCAGTACATCAGCCTATGCCTGGTGCATTATTAGCACATCGCTTCCTCCCAAGAATCCATGGAACTGCAGTCTGTTAAAGGTGCTAGGAATTGTAGCTCTGTGAGGAGTAAGCCACAGTTCTCAGGATTCTTTGGGAGAAGCCATGTGCCTTAAATATATGTTGTGTATGCAGCATAAGACTTACACACACTTCTGGTGGTGCTTGCTATGGGAAACCTGTGGTCAGTTGCCAGTGAGACCACACCCACCACTTTGAATAAGGTCCCCCCTTTTTCATTCCAATTACTGATGGAATGAAAATTCCAGCTTTCAAATTCTCTGATGCAGAATTGGTTCACTAGCTTCCCAATACCTTGCATTTTCCTGGTGTGTCCACCTGTCTTTATTAGTACACAGTACTGCCAGCGGCTATCAACTTTGTTAACCCATGGAGGCGGCAGGGAAATACTAGTGCAAAAGGCTCTTTGCAGTTCATTTTGAAACTGAATTTCTCTGGTGGGATCCCTCTTCCTTTGGCACTGATCTAAAAAAAAGAAGAGAAATGGCAATCATCAGTTTGCCCTTGAGGTCAGCGTCAGATAGCTGTGCCAGTTGGCTCCACTGGAGTTCATGACCCAGAGAAGTACCTCCAGTTTTTATGATGTGAGCAGCAGTTGTTCTGCAAAAATTAATGTGGCTTTCCCCTTGATGTCTGGTATTGTCAGAGCACCCCTTAAGCCAAAGACCAGACACATCCAGATGCTTCTAAGATTATTAATAATGGTTATAATACCACTTAGAGCAGTTTATTTTTCTCGTCTCTTTTATCTTGGCAATAGATCAGTGTGTGATCTATTACTATTACAAAAGGAGATGGAGGGCTGAGGGTGGGAAAAGGTGCCAAATCATCTGCTGAGTTACCATTTGATCCAAATGTTGGATGTGGGTATTTGATCACAAGATGCAGCTTCTAAAAAGATTCTGAAAAAGACAGGTATTAGTGAGCTTAGACTAAAAATAACCATTCAGGTTCGTTATCTTTATCTTGACAATGGCTACACCCATATCGTTCATTTAAACTACTCCTATGCCACTTTAAACAGCCTTGGCTTTCCCCGAAGAATCCCGGGAACTGTAGTTTGCCTATTTATTGATTTATAAGCATATTCATATGCTGGTGTATCATAAAAATATATTGCAGTGGTTTACAACCATTTCTGTTGGCATCCGTCTGCTCGAGAGACAATGGAGTCTGCTTCCAGGGGTGCAATAAAACTGCTGCATTAGCAGCACCAAAGTGACCTCCTTGGGGTGTAAGCCTGGGTAGTGTGTATGGAGGTCCTGAGCTGCCCAGACAACAAGACTGGGTCTCACTCACGGGGTCCAAAGGAAACCAGAGCAATGCGTTTAGCACCAGCTTGGCTACAGGAGTTGCTGGAAGAAGGCGTACAAGGCGTTGTCCAACCTTCTTAGGGACTCCACTCTGGATTTGGGTAGGGTTTACTCCTTAGCCTTTTTTTCTCCAGAAGATATCCTGCAAGGCAGTGGAGGTTTAGGACCAGAGTTTTCCTTCTCCTAGATGAGCTACCTTCCAAGGTGGATGAGCCCCCCTTGCTCCTCACTTCCATCTCCAGCATATGCAGAGAATGGCTTCTTGACCGTTGGACCCATTATTGGTCTAGTCTGCACAATCAGCCAGAGCCTGTCTTCGCATTCAGGGGAAATTGCTAACTCACCAAGGTACCCTTCGGCTACCTTCACCATGCATGCCTCATCTTTAAAAGCTTGGTGGAAGGGACAGGGAAACTTGTTGGGACATCTTTGTTGCTTCCATCCAGTCCGGAATTTCTTGCTCTTTTCTTGAACTCCTGAATTGTGCCTCCTGAGTCTGCTACCGAACTTGTACTGTTTCTTGCCTGAATAAAGATCTTTTTCTTACTTACAAGTAAAGACTGCTGTTTGTGCGTGTTGGGTAGTACCCTGGACAGCATGAATCATAGAATCATAGAATCATAGAATCATAGAGTTGGAAGAGACCACAAGGGCCATCGAGTCCAACCCCCTGCCAAGCAGGAAACACCATCAGAGCACTCCTGACATATGGTTGTCAAGCCTCTGCTTAAAGACCTCCAAAGAAGGAGACTCCACCACACTCCTTGGCAGCAAATTCCACTGTCGAACAGCTCTTACTGTCAGGAAGTTCTTCCTAATGTTTAGGTGGAATCTTCTTTCTTGTAGTTTGGATCCATTGCTCCGTGTCCGCTTCTCTGGAGCAGCAGAAAACAACCTTTCTCCCTCCTCTATGTGACATCCTTTTATATATTTGAACATGGCTATCATATCACCCCTTAACCTCCTCTTCTCCAGGCTAAACATGCCCAGCTCTCTTAGCCGTTCCTCATAAGGCA